CATTGCTATAGCCGATCTTCTTTCTAGACTTTTTAATTCTACTTCATTTCTAGGTGGACGTTTCGTGCATAGTCCATGTTCATTCACTCTGACCTTCACCTGTCTACTGCTCTCCTCTATATAGCCTGCTTCACACTCTGAACACATTATCCTATAGACACAATTACTTTGTGACATTTTGGCGACCATATCTTTGACATGCACCAAAGCTTTCTCTAGATAATTAGAGGGTTTGAAATAGACTTTAATATTATATGAAGCAAATGTTCAATTGTGTCCTTTCGATATGAAACTGCCATCGTCGATAGCCAAGATTTTTCAATTTTTTGTTTTCCCTTATGCTTTTTTATTGCTAATATTATCTAGTAGCTTTTCCGGATAACCATTTCCAGTCAGAATCTGTTTTATATTGGACATCTCGTTCTCCATATCGTTATTTGTTATAATGTCTCTAGCTCTGTTAATGAGATTTTAAGCTACTGAAACTTTCATTCCTATTGGATAATCTGATTGGAAATTCAAACACTTGTTGGAATGTATCGGCTTTCCGTATATGGTAAACTTTAGTTTCTCGTCAGTTTGTCTTTTCACAAGACAATCAAGAAAGTTTAGAATTCCCTCCTCCGGTTCTACTCCATTAGTAAACTCTACATATTCTGAGATTACGATAATATGTGTTAGAAAGCTTTCTTTTTCAGCCTTCCTTGTGATGATAAATGTGTCATCTACATATCTGTACCATATTCTAAGATGACAACCAAAACTTGTCAATGCTTTCTTTTCTAGGGCTTTCATATACAGGTTTGCTACAATTGGAGATGCTGGTGAACCCATTGCAACTCCATTTGTTTGACAGTATAGTTTGTCTTTAAAAGTAAAATATGTAGATTCCAAACAAAGTTTTCAGCGTTTTATAACTTCATCTATTGATAATAAAGATTTAGTTAATACTTCTTGATTGTTTTCAAGTTTATATTTCATAATATCAAGTGAATCACGTATAGGAATTCTAGTAAATAGAGAAACCACACCAAAACTTGCCATAATTTCGTCTTCTTCAATAATTATGTCCATTACTTTCCCTTTACACTCCTCAAAATTTTTAATGTTCAAAGGAATATTGTATTTGGAATTAACATATTTTATGCGCCCAACAACCGTCATATTTCTTGACCTGAAATTGTCATTCAATTCCGTCGACGGAGAGTTACTATGGCGGTATTTGGCTGTGAAGTGAATGCTGAGAAAATATATATTTCACTGATCAAGTCACTGCACTCGAACTCCTGCAGTCAGCCGCGTGAGAGCCTACGGAGATTTGTCATCTGAATTAATGATGACAACCAGTGGTGTCTGCCCGACACAAGCCCACTGTCCCCATTTCCGTTTAATTTCATCATGGATGTACTAATGGATGTAACGCTAACTGACTTGAGCGAATCAGAAATGGAGTGACTTGTTACCAGGTTGCGAATAGTCTCGTTGATTTGGGATATGCAGATGATGTAGTCCTTCTATATGAAAACGCTGACAAAGTGCAGTCTTCTGAACACATTGAGGGGCAGCAATCTTCGAGTGTTTGGCATGTGATTCGCTTCCGTCGAATGTGAGACGACAATACTACAGGACTGGCCTACATTGACTCCTAGCTTGAGGATAGGCAGGAGTGAAGTGATTGAGCGTGTTGACAACTTCACTTATTTGGGAAGTTGCATCAGCTAGTCCCCGCAGCTTGATCGCCGATGAAATCTCACCACGGATAGAGAAGGCTCGTTTGGTATATGCCAGCCAACTTCCTCCATCTCTGGCTTAGTAGGCGTGATGTCCGGCTATCGACCAAAGCACGTGTGTATTTCTCAGCAGTTCGTTCCGTCTTCCTTTATGCTTTACTGTGAGTGGACGTGGCCATTACGAGTGGAAGACATCTAAAGGCTGGCTAGCTGTCTTCTTATCGTAGGTGTCTGCGTTCCATGTCCCGTGTTAAGTGGCATAATAACGTGAGCAATACTAAGGTTAGGTGTCAAGTGATAGGCAAGGAGAGGAAATCAATCGACGAGGTTGTTAAGTTACACCGACTAAGATGGTTAGGGCACGTGTTACACATGCCTGTCTAGCCATCGCATTCATCGACGGGCGATGTTAGCTGATATAGAAAAGAATGAGCTGATGGTGGTCAAACCAAAGCATGGCTTCATTAGTCGATGAAATCCCCAGCAGTCAGTTTAAGCGGGTCACGTAGGGAGTTCTAGACTTCCTGGTAGGGATCATGGGTATGTTAAGAACCAATGAAGGCTGGAGAAAATCAGTGATATGACTCAAAATTGTCGTTGTCAATAACGGTGCAGATGCATCCACTCGTTGTGATTTGTAATATCCAGTAAAATGGTTTTGTTCTTCCTTATTAGTATTCTTTTAGCCTCATATTTCTGTTTATCTCTTTTGAATCTCTGCTTACTCTCCTCTCTTGTTGTGTATGCTACTTGGGGTGTGGCAACTCGAACTGCTGCGCATTTGTGCAAAGTTCTACGTTAAAAGCAGTCAGAAATTGTTATTATTATTTTCGTTTAATTATCGGGTGAAATTCTGTTATGAAAAGATATTTTTACAGTTGCAGCGAAGATTTTCTTTTCGACGAAGTCATCAACTAGGCTGTACATTCGTGTATTTATAAGTAATGGGTGGGAAAGCTGCAGAATAATTTCCGACCAAGGGTCAAGTTAATAGAATTGCAATTAGGAATTAGAATGCCATAATAAACAGTTGGGGAGGGGAGGGCGCATATAACTCAAACAAAGTAGCATCCTGATTACTGAGAAGATTGACATATTGTGCACTTAGGGGTTAGAAATGTAGAGATAACAAGGTAGACACGATAGTTGAGTAAAAGATCTAGTGGGATCGTAACTTATATGACGAATAATATTGTGTATGCAATTAGAGACTAAATATGTAGAAGTAATACAGTGACAAATCAGGCAGGAAGTTCAGAAATGAAAATATGGTAGTGCAAATAGGGATTAAGAAAAACTTAAAAATAGGATGAATTAAGTAGAAGTTTGGATAAGAAAGGTAATGGGATAGTCACTATTAAAAGAGGTACCTGTTTATGGTGGCCATGTCAGGGACAAGGGTTGGACGTATTCCTTCTGCATACATAGAGTGGGTTTGAGTACCTCGGCTATGAACATATGTCTTGATGTTACTCCCTTTGGTAGGTTTGATCGAGTTTTGTATATGATTTTGAAGGATTTTTCGAATGGTGCTCAATGTCCAATATAGTCTTCTTTCATATCATTGTGTTCCTTGTGGAATATGAGTCTTCAAACCCTGGAGTTTCTGTAGCCGTGCTGTTCTTCTGGATAGGGGTCACCAGTCTCAGACCCAACTTATCCTCTGCTCCGAGCTTACTACTGAGCCGAGGTTTTAGACTGCATCTGCGTCTGTGGTTCAGTGGTAGAATGCTCTCCAAACACGCACGTTGTCCGGGTTTCAATCATCGACCGACGCACTCTTTAGCCTCTCTGGGTTGGTCGTAATCCCGGTAAGGAGGGAAGGTTGGGCGTGAGGCTAGCAACCCTCCCCCTTGAAAATAGAACCACTGATACCGATACTTCCAAGGTCTAACTTGAGGTCGTATGTTCTACTTGGAATGTGAAGGAATAAATAAATGAAATAAGTAATTTCGGGTGGTGTATAGGGTCGGTGAGTATTTTACCATTGAAGCATTGACGCACTGTTTCAATACAGTAAGCAACTAGGTTTCTTAGCGTGTTAGGACTCATTGTAAGCTTTTTTACGTCAGTTAGCATTAGTCGATTTTCTGAAGATTAACTGTCAAACTTATAATTCATATATACGTTTTTACAGGACTGGATATATAATTGTAGAGCCTGAAGAAGAATTTATTGAAAAAAATTGTTCGCTCTAACTATTTTGTACTGAAAGTTAAATGAACTTGAAGTGTGTGGTGTGCATGAGCACAAATGGGAAAATTGATAAAAACATAATTCATCTAATAAATACATATGTCGATGCTGTCAGGAAATCACCAATAGCTAACTGGGCTCGGATATCACAGTTGTTCAGTGGATTATGCTGTTTGCTATGAGTGGTACTCAATGTCGTCTTATATTTGAAAGGTTGGTAGTGATGCAAGTAGCTTACAAAATGAGGAGGATCAGATGGTTAAGTTGTAGTGCAAATTAGAAAAAAGTGTGACAGTGGAAAGCTATTTGCATTGGAAGACAAGTGATCCGGATATGCTGCCTCACTCTGAGGAGGAGATATTAGGAATGTCTGACTCCAAAAATTTGCACAGCCTTGGAATCATGCAAATCTGATGCATATTTTCTACCAAGTAGGCATGAGATTTTTCTTTAACCGAAGGAGAAGTATCAACAACCCACAAGTTTCTGTTTCTACTGGAGTTCCGCTAGATCCTCATTCTTCTCTGTTAAATTTTTAATTTGCCCTATCTCTTTACTGACACATGAGATACAGACCCGCAGCAGTTAGGAAAAACGCATTCCTGGTCTCTGGAAGCTGCGTTTCCAGCTACGTATGTGGTGATAAACTTCCAACGTTTCGGGTCATAAATATATTGTGATTGTAAAATAATATGCAATCAGTAAACGATTTCACTCATTCATTTCGCTTCACCCAGTGCGTGAAGGAGGACAATGTATGTTATGCTTCATACACCCAGGCCTCCGACAGCCATTTTTTAATAGCTTCAAGTCTGAGAACAGAAATTGCACTGACTTTGATTTATTATGGTCAAGTGTATGTTTTTCTAAAGCATGTCGAAGGTTGGAGATTTGATGAAGACGCTTATCCGGATCAGAAATGTGTTAGATTCGCCTTGGGCTTGTCTTATCACCTAATCTCCACTGAGTTTTTGTATGACTATAGGTTTTAGTACCTCTGTTGTTGGTCCACCTTGTGCTTAGCGCATAGTGCAGACCTTAAGGGAAGATCGTCACGAGTCGGCTTGACCCCAGATGACTGTTATCTGTGTTCCGTGCTGTGGAATAAATCGGCGGTGTTATAGAAGAGTATGTTTACTTAATAGGACAGTGATACAACATTATTGACTCTGCTAACACACTTTATTGCTCTTAGTTAGAATTCATATGACTTCCATAATCGCTTTATTGTAGTTTTGTTCCTTTTTGTCTTTGTTTAATACGAGTTCGTGTTGACTTGATGCAAAATATTAACTGATTAGCCTGTCTTTCCACCTAAATCTAATAAATTTTAATACATTACCCTCTTCCACCTTATATAGTTGCATTCTAGCGCACATTATAACAATGACTGTTTTCTAGATAACGTATCTTAGAGAGGTAACAATAGAAATGTCAAAAGATTGGTGACTTTCATACATAAGGTATATCCTCATCATTTCACCTGATCGACTTCTGCAATCTCACTGATTGATCTAGACTACTTACATAACATAGTAGTTGTGTTCCATGTGTATTTTGTTAACACGATAGAGGTAAGAATTTTACACTTTTAGTGATCATTCATCACTACTTGAAAGTTTAACAAAATGAAGTTTTGTGATATGTGAATAGAGTGTCTTCATGTAAATAAAACGTTTTCGGTATTATCTCCACAAGCAGATATAGCCCTCAGTCCACCTTCTTTGTCGAGCGTGAGGCTAGCAACTCCATAATTCAGAAATTAAAGCTGTTGGAAGTTTTTCAGCCAGCTAAAGACGACGTCAGAAAACAGAATACTTAATGAGATTTTTCTGTTGAGGTTTAATTTTCCACCTAAACCTCATTGGACGAATAATCCTCTTCTGTGACTGTATACCGTAGGTGCTTAGATCCATTAGTCGAAATGATCCTCCTGTACTACTGACGGAGATTTATTACCTTTCATATGAACTGGAGTGGTCAACGAAGGGATTTTCTTCGATTTCCTTAGAATAAGTGAAACCTTACTCAGTGTAATCAATAGTTCATTATGGCCATCCTTAAACACCTCTGATGTCGTAGCGTCAGATTCTATTGCCTTGTCTCGTTTCAGCTTTAAAAACAACTTTCTCCATCTTGGCCGGAGTTTTATCCGGACTTCCATCCATGGCTCTTAAAAAGTTATTTGACTTTCATCTATCTCGATGATGTCTTCACTTGTGACACCTTTTACAGTGTTTGTTTCTACACTAATCCTAAATTCTACGTAGTGTTAACACCGTTTGCGTTTCTTTCGCTCCCATCATCCAGCATTACTCACTACGAAAACACTAAAACTGGAGTTATTGGTTTTTTGTTTGCGCATTATATTTCTTAACAGTCAGTTAGAATCACACACACACACACACAAGGCTATCCACACGTGAATATTATAAAAGCAAATAAGATTCAGATAGTAAGGTTTTTAGGCGTTCGTAGCACTTGTTTCTGTGACAGAATGGATTTATGTGTGTCAATTAAACTAGTTGATCATTAATAACACTGATGACACCAGTAACTTGTGTGCAATCAAAGTATTCAGTACAGTCAGTCATTCCTACAGGAGGTGAATCGCGAGGCCGAATAGCTCAATGGTAACGTCTCTAACTGCAGCACTGGGTGACGCGGGTTCGGATCTCAGAAGAGACATGAGTTCCTTCAAGGATGCAGATACGCCTTTCTGACCGGTGAGTGTCAATTAGCACGAAACCTAGGTCGAGCAAGGCTTCTTGCTGAATGCCTCCAACCATCAAATGTTGTCATCTACTGTTCGACTTATTCAACGGTATCAGTGTAACCAATCAGTTTCATGATTTAGACTAAAAACAAGTGAACTGATTTATTGAATATACGTGATATAAATTCTCCAGCCGTCAGTATCTTTTATTCTGAAGGAAAAGTGAACTCCTTGTAGGTTTTTGACCACATTTCTTTGATATATTCACTTCCCGTTAAAATAAAGGTGATTGATGAATAGCCACTGAACTACAGTCTGTTTCTCTGAATGTCTCGAGGATGTAAATTTATTGTTGCGGGCTTTTATCTTTGGTACTTTTGAATATGTGTTTTCATCTACCAAATATACAAAGACACTTAAAGTTGATTAACCCAGTGTAGCACTTGAATTTTGTGTTACCTTGTTTTATAATACATTTGAAGTGAAAGCTATTCACAGTCTCTTGTACGTGCAGATCACGTAAAGTATTATTATTGTTATTATTATTATTAAGATTATGTCATCCTTTTTATTTCCGTCTAGGGTGCTGTTAGTCCTCAACAGAAAGCTGTAGTGGATAGTAGTTTGCCTGTTGAATTATTGCCATGTGGTCTAGTTGTCCGTAGTATTGGTTATCGTGGCGTCCGTATTGATCCAGATTTACCATTCGACGAACAGCACGGAGTTATTCAGTGCAAAGACAACAATGGTCGTGTAGTCGATCTACCTCAGGCTTCATATGATTTTATTGTGAGCCCAATGTATTGTGTTGGGTGGATTAAACGGGGTCCTGTTGGTGTGATTGTAGACACAGCTATAGATGCTCGTCAAACAGCTGAAACAATCATGAGTGATTTGTCTGAATTGGAAAGACATAAACATTCAGACATACTGAACAAGGCTGGATTCAGCATAATTCAACGTCGTCTCAATGAAAAAAGTAGGTTCTCTTAATCTTTAACATTGTACAACACTAACTTTTAGCCAGTGATTAAATGTGAGCAATTTTGTGGTAAAAAGAATGTTTGAAAATTGGAGATTCACCATTTTTCTTACACGACGACAAAGGGCATTGTGGATCAGAAAAGCAGGTGCGTGAAGAGTAAGGCCATTTGTCACCTTTTAAGATCATTATTCTTATTATTATTCCCTTGAGTTCCGAGTAGGATAGCACATCTCCATTTCATTCTGTTCTCCACAGTTTTATTTGGCTGGCTCTACAATTGCTCATAGGTTCTCATCTTCTCCCGTCACCCTCTGACGCCTAAGATGTTTTCCACCATGTTGGTTCTATTCAACGGCCTGTCACTCAGTGGTCTCCTCAGCGTATGTTCAATTCATCCATCTTCACTTAAATTCTGCGTATTTGTTGGGCGATAGATTCTTAGTTTAGTTGTTGGCCAGAGTTACTTGTTGCTTATTCTTTCCGGTCGGCTGGCCGGCCATCTGTAGTAGCCTATTGAGAGTGAGTGCCTCACGTGACACTCCAAGTCTTTGAACAATGTACAAGTACTAACTGATATGACTTTAGTGTTGAAAATCTGTATCAAATTCCGTTTGCTGAATGCAGTAGATTTCTGCACTGATTTCAAAACAGTGATGATCTGTCTTGCTTATATACCAAGTTATTGAAATTAAAGCAGTTAGTGTAGGAAAAGTTAGAGGTAGAAATATAATTCCTTATGTAAGTAAACAAGTTGTAAACAATTTTCGAAAAAGACGAAGCAGCATTACTTTATAAACCCTGTGGAAAACTCACTGTATTTAAGCACTTATCGCTCTTAGTTATAGCCGGTAGAAAGAGAGAAGTTTCACTGCAAATCCAATGCCACTTTAGTTGTTTATCAGTTTCTCTTCTTTCCAACATGCCTGGGGACTTTCCGGTTAGATGAATATGAGTCAGGCTTCACGTCGTATCTATTCACATTTTCATTCCTTGTGTTCCGAGTGGGACGTGGGGCTCGAAACTTTGAAGTTTCAGTAGCGGTGGTGTGGTTTTTACCAGGTGGGTTTAAGAAGAAATCGACTTGCCCCGTTTGGACATATGCGAGGTAATGTAACTTCGTCCAAAATGGCGGACTCAAGATGACTGATTCTAGCAGGCTCTGAACATGATGAGGAGGGGGTAGCTGCTTGGATGCAAGCTGACCGTAAACAGTGGTGGACGAAAAGTAGCCTAAGACACGAAAGGCATCATTGGTGGGCAATATCAGATAGCTGTTTAGACTTATTAGGGAAACGGGCTATAAACAACAATCGTAAGCACAAAGATATCCGGATTTAGTTTAGTCGTCTCCCAAGGTTAGACGACTGAAACATTATAGAGCAAGACCTTGATTCAGTTAGCCTACAGCCATTTTAAATTCGTCCAGGATCCCACAGTAACTAAATTTGCAGAATTTGTCTCTAGTCTAAACAAAACAAAGCTTTAGGATCTGACAGTACGAGTCTAGAGGTGTTCGAATATGCTGGTGATGGAGTGTAAACTGGATTAAATGTGTGAAAGTCTGAGGTAGTTCCCTTGTACTGATGCATATCATCGATTGGGACAAACATGGGGGTTAGCTTGACTGACATATTATCTAAAGTCCGTGGTTCAGTAGTCCTGCGTAGGCTGAATTGTATTCAGATAACCCAGACAGGCTCTAAGTCCGAACATCTGCTCGTGAAAATGGGTACCGAGAATGCATATCACATTAGTCATGGCACTCTACCCGAACTTGTGCAACTGTTTAAAAGCCAACAGAGGGCTGTGTTCTAAAGTGGTGACAAACAGTGGTTTCCTTCAGGAAAGCGCCATCTCCTCATTTTCGTTTAATTTTATCATGGAATTGCTAATGAATGTGATGTTAATCGATCTTAACAATTCATTGACTGACTAGTTACCAGTAAGCAATGTTATCTACTTAGAGTGTTCGGATGATATTGTCCGCCTAGATAACGACGCTGCCGAAATGTAGAGTTTTCTCAACGCCTTGAGCAGAAATCTTATTGTTGACATGACATGCGATAATAACTCATGAGATACATTTGTAAGAAATCGTTCTTTATCAACTTTAACGGATAGACTAAATGCTTCTCGCGCACGATATCTTGAATGTTTTTTGATTCACTTCTACATTTAGAGATGACAGTTCATTCTGTTTTTCAGGTCACCTGTTCCATCCCATGGATGTCATCATTGAAAGGTCAGTATCAACAGGAAACGACCGTCGTTTTGAGGCAATACGCATCTGTTGTGATTAACTGCCGTAATTAGAGGTCTCTGAGTGTTACATTGAAAAACTGTGGACTGAAGTATGTTTGATTTCATGGTCCACCGATCAACTTGGTATCGATTGACAAAACTGCAAGTCTTAAGGTCTCCATTAAATACTATGGGTCATCACAGCGAGTGGAATCGATTTTCACACCAAAGTAACGGTCGTAGTCGTCAGCATACTAGTGTTTACGGTACGCACTAGTGATACCTGGTTGGTTCCAGGAATTCGGTCATGCATACTATGACTATGCCAATTGATAATTCAAACTGAAATACATGAGCACGTTAAACATTTATTGGTTTACTGTATTTCTATTGCTGTAAATTTAAAAGTAATAAATATATCTGAGTCATCATGATAGCTTCTGAATGTTGTCACTTAATGTATAAACTGTTGATATTTTACATAACCTAAATCAAATCTGAGCAGTTTAACGAGAATGGCCGACCAGACATTGATAAGGTTGGAGGCAGTTGTCTGTATGATGAGAATGTCTTTTTACACTCTGGTGTGTGTTTTATGGAGGAGTTGTATAACCGGTTAGATGGGTGTTAATTGCGATAAACAGCATTTCAAGCACACTGCTTCCCCCTATACTGCTGAATATTTGATGGTGAGGTCAACCTTGAAACATGTACATCCTGCCATAACCTGCGGTTTGTCAGCACTGGTGACAAGTTCAACTGTATGATCATGGAGTACCTGACTAGTACTCGACTGGCTGGCGTCAAACTCATGTCGCTGGGGTTCTCCCGTCACTCAAAGGTAACTCACTTTCTCTTACAGAAATCCTTGAAATTCTTGACAAAAGCGACAAGTCCACAACCTACAATAAATACGATATTCTCACATATGGTAACACAGTGCGAACAAAACCAATATTTATGGTTGTCGTTGGTCCATGTTATCGGTTTTACGTTGTCTTTTAATAGTTGCAAATTTAACTTACACGTTCACTCGGTCAGAACCTCTGATACCTGTCAATAACAGACAACGGTTACTTATGTCTTAAATCTATAGGAATGAAATGAAACATAGAATAATATTATGTGCAACTACTATTCACATCAAACTGTAGTGCTTTCTAGTCGAATCGAAGTGATCTATTCACTTGACAGACATTTCATTCCGAAGCCTGTATCTGGTTATAGTCGGTTCAGCGAGGTGAGAATGAGATATTTATGAAGCATGAGTTTGGTGGTAAATGACCCAATTGTTTGGGTGTTGAGGCCTAAAGAGTTATTAAAAGACAGAAAATAGTTTAATTACTATAATGGAAATGTTTTTATAGAGTTTTGTGTTTACAGATATGAAAAAAAATAGTCCATTATAATAAGTCTCATCGCTTTTCCTCTCATGTTTGTTTCTTCCTAACAAATTCTGTCATAGATCTAATTGACTTTTTCTAATAGTTTGTTTGTGATTTCGTTTATGATCACACAAGTAGTCATTCATAGTGTCCCATTAAATCATTAGTTTTACCTGTTGAAACTATTTGATGATTAATTTAATTTAGGTGTATTCGTTGTATGAAGAGGCTTTGCGGCTCTCTCAGCGTGCTTCTGCTAATAATGAGTCCACCCGAAATGTCAACAACCAGACACTACCGTTTGGCGCTCCTGTTGTTGCTTCCTCTTCCCAAGTTTCTCCAAATATTCAAACTTCTGTTTGTGTTCCTGACCGTTCAACAAATCTCTCATCATCCACACTCACTCCACCGCAGGCTCATACATGTACTTCGGAGTTAACCGATGGTCAACAAGCTGTCGATTTGCCTCTCACTGGCATTCTAAAACGTCCTCTTAATGATGAATCATCTGTGAGTCAACACTTTTTAAAAATATGTATCCAAACTAGTCACTTAGAATGTTTTGTATGCATTACATATAAACTGGTTTGTTAGATAGGCGTGAAATGTGAGTAGCACTTTGGAGTGTGGCGTGTGCAGCTCACGTTATCATCATATGTCAGAGTATCTGTGAACTCGACATTTTGAGGATTAGTAAATATGTTGTAGATATTACTTTTTTATCCCTCAGTGATATGTTTTTTAAGCTTGTAACGTTTATGTCTTTCCTCTCTCAAACTTTGGTTATTTAGTTGCCTGAATTTATTTATTGTTTATTTATTTAAACGCAGAGAAACTTGGTACGATATGGCACCAAGAATGTTGCGCCACACAATAAAAATGAAACACCACAGATCAAAAGAAAAAATATGTAAGTAGAGAACGGATAAGGAACTTCATGCTTAACAAGTTCAAATAGTATTCGTTAACTATTATCGGGAAGGGAAGAAAGAAGGAAATTGTAACACGTTTGCCATATCTGATAACGTTTCGAGCTATCTCTCGGACTTCAACCGGGAGTCGTGACACACCAACCGATGCTAATCTAGCACAAAATTCCTTCATCCCACGACGCCACGTCATGGACTGACCACCTCTCCGCCTTTTCCATCCCGTCCCAGGGCTAGCGAACAGAGACCTGTACGGAAGCCTCTGGGGTGACATTCGCAGCACATGTCCAAGCCACCGGAGCCGGTGTTTCCAGATGACGACATTCAATGAATGGTGATCTCCACTGTGTTCAAACACACGCCGCCGAACCTCAGAATTACTCACGCGATGATGCCATCGAACGCAAGCAATCCTGCGGAGACAGCGGTGATCGAACACGCAGAGTCGCCGCACATCCTCAGCTCGGAGAGGCCAGGTTTCACAGGCGTAGAGCAGACAGCCCGCACCGAAGCATTGTATACCCGACCTTTGACAGCCAGGCTAACGTCGCGACGGCGCCATAGGAGGCTCAAGTTGATGTATGCCACCCTAGCCTTCATTATACGGTTGGAAATCTCATCCGTCACCCCTCCGCCAGCACTCACACAACTACCCAGGTACACAAACTTATCAACAACTTCAAGCGGTTCACCCGCAAGAGTGAGTGCAGGTACAGGCTCCTGCCAATCTTGTAACAGTACTTTGCACTTAGACGGCGCAAAGCACATACCATACTTACAGACACTGATCGCCAACTGATTAAGTGCGATTTGGGCAGCCTGCATGCTATCGCACAGTAAGACGATATCGTCTGCATACTCGAGGTCGAAAAGTCTATCTCCAGGTAGCAGATCTACACCACCTTCACGCACATCCTTCAGAGCTGACTCCAGAATGTCATCGATGGCAAAGTTAAAGAGAAATGGAGAGATTGGGCAACCCTGTCTAACCCCACTGTTGGTTGGGAACAGTGGTGATAGTTGGTTGTATGCCCTCACTCTACCTGAGGTGTTTCTGTATAGGGCTTTCAAGATGTTAACAAATTTCTCAGGTACACCTCTCTCTAACAGACAGTTCCAGAGCACAGTTCTGTCCAACGAATCGAAGGCAGCCCTAATATCAAGAAACACAACGATCGTTGGCCTGCAATACGTGTGGCGGTGTTCCAACAACTGACGAAGGGTGAACACATGATCAATGCATCCACGACCTGAACGAAACCCAGCCTGCTCTTCGCGAATCAATCCTTCACGTATTTTGCACAGTCTGCGAAGCAAGACAGCAGCCAATATTTTAGACGCGACTGGTAACAGACTGATACCCCTATGATTGTCACACGAATTACGTCGACCCTTTTTAAAGATGGGGACGATAATGGCTTCGTTCCACATTGATGGTACACTCTCTGTCTCCCACACCTTCCTGAACAACCCAGTTAGAGCCATTGTGAGAGTCTCGCCACCATCTTTAAAAAGAGCCGGGGGTAATTTGTCTGGGCCGGGCGCCTTATGGCGTTTCAGAACTTGGAGTTCCTTACGGACCTCCGCTTCGGTGGGTGGGTCGGTACTAACCGACCAAGGAGCACTCGGGCTAATGATAGTAGACACTGAAGCTGGTGGCCAGCTGAACTGCTTCCCGAAGTGCTCTGCCCAGCGTTCCAGGCGTCTTTTCAGGCTGGTAATTGGAGTGCCATCTGCCTCACAGACCGTCTCGCTGACACCTTGTTTCTTGCCGCCGGTGGCTCGTATGAGTTGGAACAGCTTCCGACTGTTGCCAGATGCAGCAGCTGACTCCATCTCACACGCACGTTCTGACCACCAGGCTTCGCGGTCCTTACGTAAACACTGTCTAATCTTGCGCGTGAGCGCCTTTCGCTGATTGTTGTATTCGCTGCCAGCCGGAATGGACCGGCGTTCATCCATGAGTTGCAAGGAACTCGCAGAAACCCAGTGGTTGTTAGCGGAGCATTCTTTCAAGCCGCAAGCGGCTACACTCGCCTTTTGCATGGCACCTTGCACATGAAGCCAATGTTCATCTATACTACTTGGGGGGTTGCTGGCAAGCATTGTTTTTAACTCATTCTGATATTTCAAAGAAGTAGCAGGTGCTACTAGTTTGCTCACATCAACGCTTAGACGACGGCTTTTACGAACCCCACCAAATCGCAAGACGAACTTGGCACACACTAACGCATGATCGGAGTCCAGGCATGTGCTCCAGAAGGAGCGACAGTCTTGTATGCATCCTCGCCACCGGAAACTGACCGCAATATGATCAATCTGAGTCCAAGCTTGCTTCGCAGAGGGAGGACGCCAGGTAGCGCTACGGCGATGGCTGTGCTGGCTAGAAATAGGTTGTGATCCGCGCAAAGCTGCAGAAGACGGTCCCCATTATCTGACCTGCGACCATGTAGTCCCCACTGACCACCTAGACGATTCTCCTCTGAGCTTAGACGCCCGACCTGTGCATTCAAGTCCCCAGCCAGCACTACGATATCCCTCCGACCCGCCTGTTTCAAGAGATCGCTCAGTTGGTAGTAAAACTCATCCTTCATTGCATCCGGGCTGCAATCCGTCGGTGCATAGGCAGAGACAACAAATAGACACCGCCTATCTGGCCTACTACTCCTTACTTTCGTATAACCTTCCAGCCTCACAGCACATAAACGACTGTTAATGGGAATCCAGTCGAGCAGTGCAGCTTCGGCTCTAGCGCTCAGTGCGACACCGACACCAGCTACGCCGGATGCCGACGCCACAGGGTCCCCGGATAAGCGCAGGTGGTACATACTACTAGAACTTCCAGATGGAGAGGATAGTCGAAGCACTTCACTGGGATCTTGAATGCGGGTCTCCGAAATGCAGCAGACATCGATAGCGAGGCTTTCCAAAGTTCTTGCCAACCCTGCCTGTTGTCCGATTTGCATCAGCGTCCGAACATTGTAGGTGGCCAGCTTGAACGCGGCACGCGGTTTCAGGATATCTGTGTTAGATGTCACATTGGGGACAACCATTTTAAAGGTTACTCACTGACATCTCGAAACGACACAGATAGTCTGGGAATCAGGCGAAAGGCTGTCGAAGGTTAAGAAGTCAAGGTTAGCAAAGGTAAAATACAAGAACCTGAGAATAAAAATAAAAGTAAGTTTGGAAGGATATAAATACGATATTCTCACATATGGTAACACAGTGCGAACAAAACCAATATTTATGGTTGTCGTTGGTCCATGTTATCGGTTTTACGTTGTCTTTTAATAGTTGCAAATTTAACTTACACGTTCACTCGGTCAGAACCTCTGATACCTGTCAATAACAGACAACGGTTACTTATGTCTTAAATCTATAGGAATGAAATGAAACATAGAATAATATTATGTGCAACTACTATTCACATCAAACTGTAGTGCTTTCTAGTCGAATCGAAGTGATCTATTCACTTGACAGACATTTCATTCCGAAGCCTGTATCTGGTTATAGTCGGTTCAGCGAGGTGAGAATGAGATATTTATGAAGCATGAGTTTGGTGGTAAATGACCCAATTGTTTGGGTGTTGAGGCCTAAAGAGTTATTAAAAGACAGAAAATAGTTTAATTACTATAATGGAAATGTTTTTATAGAGTTTTGTGTTTACAGATATGAAAAAAAATAGTCCATTATAATAAGTCTCATCGCTTTTCCTCTCATGTTTGTTTCTTCCTAACAAATTCTGTCATAGATCTAATTGACTTTTTCTAATAGTTTGTTTGTGATTTCGTTTATGATCACACAAGTAGTCATTCATAGTGTCCCATTAAATCATTAGTTTTACCTGTTGAAACTATTTGATGATTAATTTAATTTAGTTGGATGCGATGTATCAGCGGGCTTTGCGGCTCTGTCAGCGTGCTTCTGTTAATATTGAGTCCACCCGAAATGTCAACAACCAGACACCACCGTTTGGCGCTCCCGTTGTTGCTTCCTCTTCCCAAGTTTCTCCAAATATTCAAACTTCTGTTTGTGTTCCTGACCGTTCAACAAATCTCTCATCATCCACACTCACTCCACCGCAGGCTCATACATGTACTTCGGAGTTAACCGATGGTCAACAAGCTGTCGATTTGCCTCTCACTGGCATTCTAAAACGTCCTCTTAATGATGAATCATCTGTGAGTCAACACTTTTTAAAAATATGTATCCAAACTAGTCACTTAGAATGTTTTGTATGCATTACATATAAACTGGTTTGTTAGATAGGCGTGAAATGTGAGTAGCACTTTGGAGTGTGGCGTGTGCAGCTCACGTTATCATCATATGTCAGAGTATCTGTGAACTCGACATTTTGAGGATTAGTAAATATGTTGTAGATATTACTTTTTTATCCCTCAGTGATATGTTTTTTAAGCTTGTAACGTTTATGTCTTTCCTCTCTCAAACTTTGTATATTTAGTCACCTGAATGAGTGTGTAGGTTTAAATGTCGCCATCCTAATGGCTACTGTATTAAGAGTGTTACGTAGGGCTTCTTTCTTGTTTATGTTATACTCATTAGTTGGATTACTATTTTTTCCATTTTCTTATGTGATTTTTTGATCTTGGTGAATTTTGTAAGACAGTTATTCAGCCGAAAAGCGTTTCCTGTCTGTTTCATTTCATTGTTCAGGCTTTCTAACGTGTCCCTCAGAGTTTTCTTTCCGTTGTTTAGACAGTTAAGTAAACTTGCCTGTACATAAATCGCATGAGATGACGTAAAGCTCAAATATGTATTAGAATCCGTTGGCCTTTTGTGAAAACTGGTGCAAAATTGACCTTCTTCTGTTACTTTTGTTCCCCGATGTAACATATCCAATTCTTCGTTTATCTTCTAACTCAGATGTAAATTGGATTCCCTCTATACTATTGAGTTTATATTCATTAAAGAAATAGGCACAGGTATGCTTTTAAGACATTGATGGTGGTGTGTGTCATGCACGTATCTCCACCTTACTGCGCATGTACTGTGACCAGCGGATATTGATGATGATTCCTACACTATCCATCTAGTGTGAAAGTTAAGTGAAAGCCTTTTGATCAGTAAGTTGTGATCATCAGTAAATAATGCCGCATCGGTGTGTGCTTTCATCAGATAAAATTACTAGACGATGAAATTTTGCTGCATAAAAATGTCTACATTCTGTTCTTATATCTACACCACACTGAACAAGGGAATGGAGAAGAGTGCTGGGAAAGGCTAACGGTAACTGTCCGTGAGACAGAATTGACTACAGGTGACCTAGACCTGATAACAATTAATCAAGTCAGTATTAGAGTAGATGTCAACGTTGATAAGCGAGTGAAAAAAACAATGGTGGGAACACGGGTCTGATCCTTTCGAAACATTCCCTTATCCACTGCCACCTTCAACTTTTTCGGAAATACTACCATCACCTGCGGAATTACGAGTGCTTACAAACTTTCCAACGAAAGCAGAAGTCTCGAATACCATATGGCTGAAGAAGTATGGAGAAGTAGCAAGACCAGACAGACACAAATCAACACTAGCGGAGAGGCCAGCGTCGCACTGAAAAGCTGTGGAACAGCCTGAGAGCAGTGTGGATTCAGACTTGCATGAAAGTTGTAGGCAGATGGAACAGACAGGACAAACCGTAGCTAACTATGGACTCATGGAGACTAATAAAAGAGAGAAGGACGGTCAAGGAAAAGATTATCCAGTGCATCTCCTGACAAATTTGGACTGTTTTTTAAACGAAAAGACCAGCAAAGAGATCTCTTTCACGACTTCACCGTGATGGATGTGCTTATGCCACTATTGCACAAAGTTTCGAAGATTAGCTACCTCACTTGGTAAAAAAGAAATACCTCTGCTAGTGATAGTTCGAAACTCAGGCTTCATGACTTATGTTCCAGTCGGATTGCAAGGCAATACAATGATTGCGCATAGTCAGTATCAGAGATTATTGTCAGTTCATGACCAAATAGGTCAGTATGTATGAGAAATAACAGAGTTGACAACTGATTAGTTCAGTGGATAGTCAGTCAGTCAGCTGATAGTAAACTCTTTCGAACGAGAGCGAAAATAGGTGATTTTATAGGACAACGCAATAGAATAATAAAATTGACGCCTGAGAGCATGGTAGTAAAATCGGAATAATAATAATTTTTTGAGTTTGTTTCTCCTCGGAAGTGAGACCCTTTGTTAGCTTAATAATTGCACCACATGGCAGTTCCACACACCCTAAATCCGAACGCTTTTGTGCATAGCCTCCTGGTAAGTTGACAGCGCATGTCGAGCTGATAATCTCATCATGAATTCTCATACTTGCAGCTATGGTGGTTTCTGACTTCACTTCATATTTCCTATCATTTTCAGATTAATGCAATTCGTTTCCCCTAACCAGGACTGACTGCGAGATTCATCTAAATTGTTAAGTATTTTTCATCCAAATTTATTTCATGAATTCATTGTTTGTTTATATTTATCCCATTTAGTACACAATAAATTGGTGTTTATTCATTTTCCTTTTTCTGTTGTTTTTCTGATTGCTTTATTGCTTGTATTCCTGATTCTAAAGGGAGCAACCCCAAAAGTCGCTTCTCTGCAACCTTTATATTTATATAACAACCCCCATCTCAGGCGTGAGGCCAGCAACCCCACCCTGTAAACAAAGTTGCTACAAAAACTTCAGTACGATGAGTCTCCTTGCGACGAAAGGAAAATTCTGTGTGGGGACATGGAACGTCCGCACCGTGTATGAGACTGTCAAAGCTTCCCAGATTGCAAATGGGACGAGAGGATACGAAATTCCAGTAGTGGGAATATCCAAAAGCAGACGGAATGGGAATGAACTTACCAAATTGTCAACTGGAAAGTTGATGATCTACTCCAGTCATCCAGGTGACAACCATGAGAACACCGAGGGTGTGGCTATCATGATGTCACCAACGGGAAGGAAGGCCGTCATGCAGTGGCAGGCGGCGATTTTGTCCAGGATAATGACCGCCATATTCAACTGAAAAGGAAGGAATTTGACAATAATTCAATTATATGGTATGCACCCACAAACAACACAGAGCTCGGAAAGAAAGAAGAATTCTACAGTCAACAATCTACATTACTCCAGTCGGTGACATTAATATCCTAATGGGAGACATGGACGCTGAAGTCTATCTGTCTGTCTGTTTTCGACATAGAACTTTACACAAATGTGCACCAGTTCAAGTCGCCACACTCCATGTAGCACACAAATCAAGAGAAGAAAGTAAAAGAAAAGCATAATAGTGACAGTAAACAGAGGTGTGAGACAAAGGAAGAGTTATAACGAGGAGCAAAACAGCTTCATTGGAAATCATGTCACAAGGAGTGGATGCATCTGCGCCACTGAGAACGATTTTGAGCCATGTCACCAATTGTTTCCAACCATTTGTTTTTACCGTCCCGAGGACCCTAACCAGGAAGTCTACACCTTCCTACGTGGCTTAGACTAACTGTTGTAGATTTCATTGACTGGTGCCAAGTTTTTGTTTGACCTGAAGTGGGACGAGAGAACACAGGAAGAGGACTGATTATGGGTAGAGAAGCACTTGGAGAGATGAATGGAAACGGAGAACACTTTCATAGTAACTGCCCTTCATTTCTTTTATCACAATATTTGCAATCCGAAGTGGTGCCGTTGTTTTTCCTTACCCGCCTACAGTAGCTTATCTGTCCGCTGAAAGTGACTTGTACATACCATAATTTTACAACCTTATAATAAATAATCAGCAATATTCTTCATTTTTATAGTGTATTCTTGATGATTCTAATTCACAGTCTATCATCCAAGATGCTACAAATAATCATGACTTCAAGCGCTCACGTCTTTCACCTGGTGGTGATGCATTCACTAGCATTCCATCAAACTCTATTGAGCATTCCTATATTCAGAATAAATCCCCTGGGACTAGCGGTGGTGGAGATGATAACGGCTCGAAACGTGATTGTAAGTTATCTTGATGTTATTGGTGTTCATGAAATACACTTGATCTCATCATTTAAAAATTTCAACGATCTTGTTTCACTTGATTATAATTGATTATTGTGTGATCAAGTTGATAAGGTATTATATTATTAGTATTATGTCTATATAGTATAAGGCGTAGGGTGGTGATACTTGGTTGTATCTTTTGCGATACAACGCTCCAAAGCTTATTTATATAGAACACCTGATAATGATGTTTTCTCTGGTTAGATCGCAAATCAGTCAATTATCAGTTATCTGTCATGCAGTAAGCATAACGGGGAAATGTTACAAGAATTGTGACCTTGGCTTGAATAACTGTGTGGTTTGTGTATTGTAGATAGATACATTAGATGTTGTGATGGCGAGCCAGTTTGTGCGGCATAAACGCCCGATGTCTCCATCTCATTTTTAATTTTTTTTTAACATGGACATACTGGTGACTGTGGCTCTAATGGACTCTAGTTATCTTGGGACTAACTGACTTGCTAAAAGTAAGCAGTCTTGTCAAATTCGATCATTGTGTTGATCTGTCCTCCGATATGAAGACGTTCTCAGAGTTGAGGATCTTTTAAGTATTTTGAGCGGAAATCTTTTGTCATCATGCAATTCTCCCCTGTCAAATGTAGTAAGGTGATGGTGAAAGAGACATCTTCATTGACTACTAGTTTAAAGGTAGAAAGTAAAGTGAGTAGTTGTGAGTGTTGATCACGTCACTTATTTGAGAAGATGAATCAACCCTAATGGACTTGATTGTTGACGAAATTGTGGGACGGATAAAGAAGACTGATGTATCATTTGTCAACTCGCGTCATCTCTGGTGTAGACGTGATATCCGGCTATTGATCAGACGACATTTGCTTGTTGGAAGTGGTAAAGTTGAAGAAGTTCTGGTTGTTAATCGCCATCGGTGTCTACGTTTCATCTCCTTTGTTTAGTGTTATACTGTGATACACGAGGTTAACCTGAGTATGTTAGGCAACTCAGGCGATGAAGTTGTAGGGCTGAGTCAATTGAGATGGCTGTGAAACCTTGTGTATGCCAAGCTGTCGTGTCTTCCTCATTGAGCTATTTCAGTTGATATCAGATAAGGTTGGGAGGGAGTTCTAGGCGGTCAAATCAAATTCTGCCATCAATCCATGAAGTGTTTGACTTTTGGGGTGAATCGATTACAGTTATATTCATGTACCTGCTTTTGGTATTGTACTTTTATAGTTATTCCAATATCTTATCTTAAATATTTCGTGAGAACTTTGCTTAAGACGTGAAGTATTGGGAGATTTATGGCTTTCGATACTGTTTATCTCGTCTCTTTAATTTTGAAAGAGACAGGCAGTATTATGCATCGCTTTATATTTCCTTACATGAGGGTTTTAAGTATCAATAATGAAATGCTTTATGTACACATATTCTGTAGAATGTTTCTATCAGTTATGACTTTGAAAGGTGTCTGTTAGTCCCGAACTTCAATGGATTATATACATATATCTGTTTTGATGTACCAACTCGGTAGCTAATATGTCTCCTAAAAAAGCTGTATTGTATTGCAAAAATCGTTGAATACATCTGTACTGAATGTGTGTTCAAACCATGCTGAAGCCGTTTTTCACTGTACTGTGTTTATTCTGTTTAATGAGTGACTTCAACGAAAATTACCGACTTATCCGTGTAAGGTTCTATTTTAGATTTTCTACGCTTGATTTTCTCACAAGTATTTCTGGGAATATATTTATGGATACATTTCAGTTTCATTTTTTGTATTTTGTGTGCAGTATCCTCATCAAGATGTGTGTGGATCAGCAATGTTCCTCAAGGTGTTCGAGCATTAGATGTCAAAGAAATGTGTTCACCTTATGGGAAGGTGAGTTGTCTTTTTTACAGTCCTAACGTATATACATAGATAAATCCTGTAGACCTGCATATTTATTGAAAATTAGGGGAGATTGAGTGTGAGGCTATCAGCCTCCCAACTCCATCTTCGCCTACCAACTGACGTTCTCAGTAATTCATGTGACATACTGGTGTATTTTATTTGTTTACTCTGTGTATAAAAGTGATCTGTTTTGCATAGATTTGAGGGGATTACAAAAAGTCCTCCTATACACGAGTGTGCTTGTCTGATTTGCATATCTGGTAATTGTTTCGTATCTATGCTTCAGTATCCATATGATGATAAAAGGCGAATATGATCACTTATGGTTTCTTGTTGACAACAAGCAGTTGAACTACTTTTTGTCATGAAGTATGCCATTTGTTATTGTATGATTTCGACTTTCCTGATGGCCAATTTTCGGTGTGACTCTAAATGTTTGTCGTTGAGTTACCAGGCATTCTGAATTGTCTCTGCTTTCTTCTCCCTCTGTCTATCTCTCTCTCTCAGGTTCAAAGCATAAAAATTGTCAAGAGTAAAAAAAGTCGATCGCCGTCTATTTTCGCTTATCTAATCATGGAAACTTCAGAAGCTGCAGTCCGTCTTGTACAAGGTTTACAGGGGGTGAAGTATTGTCAGAATGAATTGAAAGTCAAGCAGGTATGTTTCGATGTATTTCTTAACTGTAATATTTGAAGTGTTAAGATACAGTTTTCTGTACTGTCGTATAGCTACTGTGGTAGAAGCTTCATGGGGAACATATGCGACATGATAGAGAAGATTTGTAGCTTAGGTGGATAATTTTAATTGATTTGCGAAGCTTTCATCGCAAATCAACTATCCAGCTCAGAAAACACAACCACATGAAAAGGACATATGTGAGTTCGGCGAATCTTCTTAGTCATTAGTTTAACAGACTAACCCTAAATACAGACGTAATGGACCTTCAATTCGTTATCAAAACATTAAGAAGACAGTTGCAGCGAAGAAAATTTTCTTTTCGATGAAGTCATCATCTAGGCTGTACATTCGTGTATTTATAAGTAATGGGTGGGAAAGCTGCAGAATAATTTCCGACCATGGGTCAAATTAATAGAATTGCAATTAGGAATTAGATTGCCATAATAAACGGGGGGATGGATAAAACAAACAAAGTAGCATCATATTAACTAAAAAGATTGACATTGTGCAATTAGGTGTTAGAAATGTAGAAATGACCAAATGGACAGAATGTTTGGATAAAAACTAATGTGATGAATAATTGTTTATACAATCAGGGATTAAATAGTAAATGACAAAATAAACACGACGTTCGGGTATGGAAATATGGTAGTGTAAACAGGGATTAAGAAAAACTTAAAATAACATAAATAAACAGGAAGTTTAGATAAGAAAAGCGATAGGATGGTCATTACTAAGAAATTACCTGTTTATGATGGCCATGGCAGGGACAGAGGTTGGACGTATTTCTTTTGGATACAAAGCGTGGGTTTGAGCTTTTGGATAGCTAGTGCCTCAGCTATCCCCAGATGTCTTGATTTCACTCCCTTTGATAGGTTTGATTGAATCCTATACATTACTTTGAAGGATTTTTCGAAAGGCACTGAATGTCCTGAATTGACCAGATGTTCTGTCACTGAAATGTGTACACGCTTTTGGTCTCCTTTTACTAACCAGGCTGAGTAGTGTTCACGAGCGCGTTTTTCAAGTCGGCTCATGGTACGGCCAACGTACTCAGCTCCACAAGAGCAAGTAAACTGGTATATGCACGTTGAGGTGGCCCAATGCGACAGCTTGTCTTTCAAGTTCTGGCTGAACAGTTTCTTGCAAGAAAACGTCAGTCGTAGGCTCGCGGCGAAGTATGTTTTCCTCAGCGATTTGGAGAGGCGTTTGCGAAGGATTTCCGCTCCAATATCACCTTTGAATTCCAGATTAAGCAGAAGTATTTCCTTTGAAACGGATTGGACTTGTTTGGAAGTCTTCTTAGATTTGAGATTCTTGTCTATGAACCTGGATGGGAAACCGTTTTCCATCAGGATTTTTCGAAGAATATGCAGTTCTTCAACCACTTCCTCGCTGCATATCTTCCGAATCCTCAGGGAAAGAGCGTATATCAGGTTCCTCTTTCTGCTCAGGGGCACGAAGCTCTGAAAGTTGATGAATTGTCCATTCCATGTAGGCTTTTTGTATATGGACTTTTTCAGAGAGTTGTTGACGTGTCTTGTCAGATGGACGTCGAAGAAGTGGAACATTCCGTCGGATTCAGTCTCAAGTGTAAAGTCGATGTTTGGGTGGGCGTTATTGAAGATTTGAAGTAGGTTTTTTAAATCACAATTCTCATCAAAAATAATGAAAGTATCATCGATGTATCTCTTGTAGAGATGTAGGTCGTTGATAGTTGGTGATAAGCTGTTGTTCTCTAAGCTAGCCATAAAGCAGTCGGCTAGGAGGGGTCCTAAAGGAGAACCTATTGCTACTGCACCTACTTGCCTGTATATTTCCTTGTTGAAACTAAAGTATACGTTGAAGGTTCATCGAAGTAACAGTTCTTTCAGGTAATGGATTGGTATACCGACTTCGATGCCATTGGATTGAATGTAGTCACAAAGGAAACATATGGTTTCTATCAATGGAATGTTGGTGAAGTGAGACACGACATCTAGGGAGACCATTTTCTTTTCTGCCACATTGACATTCTTGATTGAATCAACAAAGTCGAATGTGTCACGGAGGTTGTGTCTTGACAGCTTCTCTTTCACCGGCCCAAGAATCTCCATCAGTCATTTCGCGATTGTATATTATGGGGAATCTATCATACATAGTACTGGGCGGAGTGGGACGTCTTGTTTGTGAACTTTAGGTAAGCCGTACATGCGCGGCGTTGTAGAACCAGATGGGCGCAGTTGCTCGTATAGTTTTGAACTGATAATGGATTCGTCTTTCATTTTCTTCAATATCTTTGTTAGCTGAAGCTCCGTCTGTGGAGACTGTTTCTGAAACCTTTTATCATCAGATAGCATCACCGAGAGTTTGCTGTTTATTATGGGCTTCTAATTCCTAATTTTTATTTTTATTAATTTGACCCTTAACCTGAAATTATCCTGGAACTTTCCCATCCATATGATGTAAATACACGAATGTACAGCCCAGATGATGACTTCATCGAAAAGAAAGTTTTCTTCGCTGCAACTATCAATACATTGTGAATTGAAGTCCTCTAAAACATCATAACCGGATGGAATTCCTCCTGAAGCACTGGAAACAGATTCAAAAACCGTGATGGATGTGCTTATGCCACTATTGCACAAAGTTTCGAAGATTAGCTACCTCACTTGGTAAAAAAGAAATACCTCTGCTAGTGATAGTTCGAAACTCAGGCTTCATGACTTATGTTCCAGTCGGATTGCAAGGCAATACAATGATTGCGCATAGTCAGTATCAGAGATTATTGTCAGTTCATGACCAAATAGGTCAGTATGTATGAGAAATAACAGAGTTGACAACTGATTAGTTCAGTGGATAGTCAGTCAGTCAGCTGATAGTAAACTCTTTCGAACGAGAGCGAAAATAGGTGATTTTATAGGACAACGCAATAGAATAATAAAATTGACGCCTGAGAGCATGGTAGTAAAATCGGAATAATAATAATTTTTTGAGTTTGTTTCTCCTCGGAAGTGAGACCCTTTGTTAGCTTAATAATTGCACCACATGGCAGTTCCACACACCCTAAATCCGAACGCTTTTGTGCATAGCCTCCTGGTAAGTTGACAGCGCATGTCGAGCTGATAATCTCATCATGAATTCTCATACTTGCAGCTATGGTGGTTTCTGACTTCACTTCATATTTCCTATCATTTTCAGATTAATGCAATTCGTTTCCCCTAACCAGGACTGACTGCGAGATTCATCTAAATTGTTAAGTATTTTTCATCCAAATTTATTTCATGAATTCATTGTTTGTTTATATTTATCCCATTTAGTACACAATAAATTGGTGTTTATTCATTTTCCTTTTTCTGTTGTTTTTCTGATTGCTTTATTGCTTGTATTCCTGATTCTAAAGGGAGCAACCCCAAAAGTCGCTTCTCTGCAACCTTTATATTTATATAACAACCCCATCTCAGGCGTGAGGCCAGCAACCCCACCCTGTAAACAAAGTTGCTACAAAAACTTCAGTACGATGAGTCTCCTTGCGACGAAAGGAAAATTCTGTGTGGGGACATGGAACGTCCGCACCGTGTATGAGACTGTCAAAGCTTCCCAGATTGCAAATGGGACGAGAGGATACGAAATTCCAGTAGTGGGAATATCCAAAAGCAGACGGAATGGGAATGAACTTACCAAATTGTCAACTGGAAAGTTGATGATCTACTCCAGTCATCCAGGTGACAACCATGAGAACACCGAGGGTGTGGCTATCATGATGTCACCAACGGGAAGGAAGGCCGTCATGCAGTGGCAGGTGGCGATCTTGCTGTGCACTCACAAACAACGCAGACCGGAAATAAAGAAGACTTCTACCTTCAACAATCGACATTACTCCAGTCGGTGGCTTTAAAATCCTAATGGAAGGCATGGACGCTCGAGTGGGACGAGACAACACGAGAAGAGGACTGATTATGGGTAGAGAAGCACTTGAAAAGATGGATGTAAACGGAGAACTCTTCGCTGACTTCTTTGCCTTCAATGAACTAGTTATTGATGGCAGCGTATACAAGCACAAGGATATCCACAAGGCTATATGTGTGTCACCAGACGGGTGAACCGAAAACCAAATTGACTTCATCTCAATACTGGTCAAGGAAGTGGAGACTCAGCTTACTGTACACAAAAGTAAGAAGAGGAGCGGACGTTGGCTCAGACCACTCTCTCGTACAGGGAGCACTCAAAATCCAATGAAAAGCTATCAAGGAAACAGGAGTTGCAGATAGACCACAAGCCAAGTTCAACACTCAAAAACTGAAGGACCAAGATACAAAGGACATCTTCATTGGAAGCATAATGAAAAAGGCGGAGACAAATCAACACTAGTGACGATACCAGCGTCGCACTGAAAGGCTCTGGAACAGCCTGAAAGTGGTGTGGAATCAGACCTGCATGGAAGTTGTAGGCAGAAGGACGAAACATGGCAAACAGTGGCTTACTACAGACTCATGGAGACTAATAGAAGAGAGAAGGATGGTGAAACAAAAGATTACCCAATGAATCAATAAGCAACAAAAACAGGAGTTGAGTGTAAGCTGCAATACATTGAACAAAAGAGTAAAGAATAGTGCCAGGGAAGACAAAAGAAAATATTATGAAGCTGTGTCAAGTCAAGCAGAACTAGCTGCAGACAAAAGAGACCTCACAACACTACCGAACAACTAGGTTCTTATCGAGGAAGAGTTCAGCACAAATTAAGCCAGTGAAGGATGACAATGGCAAGCCAATCACCCAAGAGGTGGAGCAAAGGAAACACTGAGCTGAACACTCCAAAAGACTTCTTAATCGACCGCCACCTACAACGCGCCCAATAATACCAACAGCGGAAGCAGAACTACCAGTGGACATGAATCCTCTGACGAGAACAGAAATCCTGAAGGTCATGAAGATGCTGAAAACTGGAAAATCAGCAGGACGAAACCGGATACCAGCAGAGGCATTGACATCACTACTGGAGAAGGTGTGGAAAGATGGTAAGGTACCTGCAGATTTGGAGAAAAGGCTGCTTATTCAAACTGCGAAAGAAAGGAGATTTAAGTCAATGCAGGAACTGGCGTGCCATTATGCTCCTGTCTATCACAAGCAAAATACTAAGCCGCATCATCCTGGAAGAAATTAAACACGCCCTGGATGAAAAACTCCGACCGGAACAGTCTGGATTCAGGAGAAACAAGTTATGCATCGATCAAATCGATACACTACGGATCATCATTGGACAGAGCTTAGAATAGCAGTCACCTCTCTATCCCAACTTCATTGACTTCGAAAAGGCTCTCGACAACGTCGATCGAGAGGTGATTTGGAAACTACTTCGCTACTACCTATGGGTTGCTGTCAACCATTGTACACCTCATCCAACAGTTGTACGGTAATGTTGCGTGCGTTGTAATCCACGACGGGAAACTCACGGAATTCTACGTAGTGGAGAGGGAGTAAGACAATATGGCTGCCTATTATCTCCAATGATTTTCCTGATTGCGGTAGACCGGATAATGCGACATACAGCGGGCAGTGAGGACTCAGGTATAAATTGGATCTCTACTTCACCGATGGTATATGGAAGATGTACAAGTGAAAAGCGACAAGTTGGCAGAAGAAGCATCCACAGAAAATAGGACTTCAGGTGAACATAGAGAAAACAGAGGTGACACAATCAGCATAAATGGGAGAAATCTGAAAGAAGCAACCTCCTTTACCTAGCGACCTGGGTAGCATCGTTTCAACTACAGGCGGATGGAACTGATGAGGATATGAAAGCGAGGATCAGGAAAGCAAGGCAAGCTTTCATTACTCTGAAGTCTGTGTGTAGGTAGATCAACAGTATTCAGCATGAAAAACAAGATGTGGATTTTCAACTCTAATGTGAAGTCAGTGCTACAATACGAATGAGAGTCTTGGCGCCGCGTCACGTGGGGCATTTCAAATGAACTACAGACCTTCATAAACTGCCGTCTTCTCCCAATGCTGCTCAAGATCAGATGGCCGACCAGAAAAGATCGACCAAAGGGACGTCTGGCAATGAGCGAACCAACCAGGAACCGATTGTGTAAGAAATATGCAGGAAGAAATGGAGGTGGATTGGATCGGCCATACTCTGTGATAACAAACCATCGAGTAACATCACACGCCAAACAATTGCTCGAGTGGAACCCAAATGTGAAGCGGCAAGTTGGTAGTCAGTGCGAGGGTGACATGGAGGAGGTGACGTGAAGAGTAGATAAATGCATAGGGAGCCAGGTAAAAGCGTTGTCAGGGAACCGAACGCAATGGAGAAATACTGCTGAAGCCCTACATTCCTCTTAGAACTAGAGGAGACAATAATAATAGTAGTAATTTATTTGAAGGGGATAGATGGGATTGACTCAGTGGGACCTCTATTATCGAGTCTTTAGGCCTATATTCCTTATAAGTAAACTGGTGATAATCTAGGTGGTATTGGTACTCACTTTTTATGCAGGATCGGTAGCTGTGATATCTCTGTACACGTTACAAACGAACTTTGGATACATAGTGGAATTGCAAAAGACACTAGTAATAGTTGAATAGCGCATTCATCATAAAGAGAATGTCAGTTAAGGGACGGATTGCAAGAAGGTAATTATGGTATCACTAGAATTACCCAAGTGACTGTTTTCGATTTAAGAGAGCTCACCGCTGCAACTTGATATTGTCTTTTTCTCGGATTCTCGAGCCCATGTACCCTCCGGGTTTGCAACCAGTTTTCTTCGGTTCCCCTAGCTAGGCCAGCACGTTGCACTCACCCTATTTTAGGGGAATACTCACATGGCATGAAGGCGGTGAGAAGGAGTTACCACGCAGATAGTGTGAACTAGCGGCCACATGATTGCATTGCGTGTTTCTTCCTAGCCTTCAGAAATATATTTAGGGTAATAAATGTCTCTGTAAACGACGAACATTTTTCACGGTAACAAGATACAATTCGTTGTTATATTGAAAGCCAAATATGGGACAGATGAATTTTCACGTGGAATAATACAGTGGTTGTAAAATCATATTAGTTCCGTGTTGTATGGTGACATGGTAAGGAGTACTCGGATGATAACAAGTGTGATGGACTAAATTCAATCCCATAATGGATGGCGACAATCGAACATAACTTATGCAGTATGAAGCGTTATGTAGTTGAAGACTAGGCAGAAATTTGGTGAGTACAACTGTAGTGCGTCAGTGACACAGCGGTTAAGACGCTCGTCGACCAAGGACATGGTAATGGGTTCGGACTCCGGCCGATTCACACCTGGTATCAATTATCGACGTGCTAATTTTGGCCTACCGATATCACCTGCTTAAAATTTCATACTTGTTTCAAAAATACTGTGTGGAGTCAAGCTATAATAAAAGATTAAAAAATAATAAGTATGCACTGAATAGAGGAGAATAAGACAACAGTGAATACTTCATGCAATAATGTATGTGAAATAGATAATGAGGAGTGATACCACGAGCAATGTATGCGAGTGACTCTCTGCATGACAAGAACTGAAAGTATGCTCAAACAAAAGCCATAAATGCTGAAATAGTATGGTGGAAAGAAAAAGCGAAGGGAAGAAGAGACATCTAAATGGTCGAGGTATTACTCAGTAAGGATTGACATGGCAAATCTTGTAAGCACCCGAATACAAAGTGCTGACTTTGTCTGTCTTACTACCGTGTATTCAGCTTTATCTAGGAGAAGTAGAGAGTCCGTGTGATGTTCTGAGTCTACTAAGTTTAGCACAAATCACTTTACTTTTTCCTCTTTACTATAAGCCAGATATATATTTATCAAACCTCGCCATCTATAGAAACTCAAAGACAGTAACAAACTGTATCAAGGGACTGACAAATTAGATATCCTCAGTTGGCCTTACCACCATATTGGCTGGCCGACTCCCACCGGTTTATTTTTCTTGTCGAAATCATCTCTATCGTTATTAGTAGACTTATTGTATTTAGAGTGTGGACAGTGTAGTTATTGTGATATTCAGCCTGCTAATTTGAATCAATGCCAAGGCTGTCGACTCCGTCGAGGAAAATATTTGGAATGATAATTGTATGCAAAAGTGTTTGACAGCGGGCAAACGGAACTATGAATATAGTTAGTGCACGAGGTACTTCTTGTAATAATACAGTCGAATATGATAGGACTGGCTTATAATTTCCCCGGATAAAATATCAAG